AGGCCGACCGCAGTCCAAGTCCTGGACCTGGCAGCTTGCTTTCTCATTTTCCCTCTCTCTCTCTCTCTCTCTCACACACACACTCTGTCTCTCTCTAGCCACATTAAAAATAAATAAATAAAGTTAAATAAAATAATTATTTTAAAAAACATAATTTCGAGTGAAAATGCCAATAGCAGAATAAAGCATATTGTATTGTTCAGTTTATATAAGATTCACAATGGGGAACCACCAGTTAGCGGAATGGCTATGTCACTGAACTCCCACGTAGTCAACCGTGGTTCACGTCCCGGACCCGGTGGCTTAAAACTCACACCGGGCACATGTGCGTGCCCAAGATCCCGAGAGGAGAATGGAGGAGAAGGGATTGCGGCATGGCCATCCCCCCTGGGGGGTGATTTCTCGCTTTCTGTCTCTCTGTCTCTCTCCGTCTGTCTGGCGAGCACACGCACCCTATAGCAAAAACCTCTCAAAAAAAAAAAAAAAAAGATTCACAATGATGCAAAGCAATGGATTACATAGAGATGAAAATATATATAGTAAAAATTATTAAAGAAAAAAGGAAAGGATAAACACAATTACCAGATGGTGGTTCTGAAAGCAGAGTAGTTTCTACACGAACTGTCTGAGTTGGGTCTGCAGAGAGTAAGCCCCATCTATGATAACACAAAACTGTCTCAGTTTGTTTTATAGGGAGCATGACTCACAAAGCGCTATGAGCCTGAACCACATGAAACCAGGACAGACTGAGGGGGAACAGACCCTCACTGACCATGGGTGAACTTCTGCTCATCGTAATATTAAAATCTCTGCCCCAGGAGAGCCACAGCTGCATTTACATAAAAGGCGTTGCATGAAGAAGCATGACCAGTTTCTGCGCTTGTGCCTGTGGGAGTCGGCCTTTAGATGTTCAACCCTCCCCTGTCCACTTCTCCTAAATAAAAGCCTTTATGTCCCATGCCTCAGGGAAACAGTTTGGGGAGCTAACCCCGATGTTTTCCTACTTGCTGGCTTGTAATAAAGTGTTCTTTGTGCTAATCAACTTGGCAGGCTCTATCAGTCAGACTCCTGCCAAGCAGACAGACCTGCTTTTGGGTCACTTACACTTCCACTGAGAGGAAGGGAAATGGATGAGGAAGACAAGCCAAGGGGTTAAAAGGTCATGATAATGCTCTAACCTGCCTGGGATTGTGTTGTGTGTCTTAAATGTAATTTATCTTAAATGTAATATCTTATCTATCTTCCATTTTAAATGTAATTTATAAACAGTTTTCTTCAATATTTAATTAAAACATTTAAGAGAAAAAGATGACGAAAAACATGTTCTGGGCTAGTCTCATAGGGCAGTGGTAACGCTCTGTGCATTGGAGGCTGGATTCCACATGGCTGACCATGGTTCAGATCCCAGCCAAGATGACTTGGAAAGCACAACAGGCACGCATGCATGCACAGCCAAAATCACAACCAGGAGAAATGGAGGAAAATGTGTTGTTGCCTGACCATGCCCCCTTCCCCTTGGAGGTTACTTTCTCCCTGCTCCTTTTTCTGTGTCCATACACTTCTGTGAAAAGAAGAAAAGAAAAGAGAAAAAGAAGAGAAGGAAAAGAAAAGAAAAAGAAAAGAAAAGAAAAGAAAAGAAAAAAGAGATGAAAAGAAAAAAGTGACCCAAATATGGCATAATGAGATAAATGTAAATGAGCTGGCTTGGAATCAGGAATACTGAGTGTTGCTCAAAGTTCCTTTTTCCTTTTTAATGTATGACAAAGAGCACATGCATGTACATGAGAGAGAGAGAATGAGAAAAGCACTCTCAGTAGGATCTCATCACACACAATCTCCTTTCCTTGGCCTGTCAGGATCTTGGGCTTGTGTCGTGTTTTCACGCTGACCTGTGATCCAAACCCAAGGCGGGCCATGTGGCTTCCAGCACTGCAGTCAGCTACCATCTGTGCCACGGGGCTGGACCCTGCAGCTGCTTCTTAATTTACAATTCCACCTGGGCAGAGTCACTGACTTACCTGTAACTCAATCTTTTCATTTGTCAAGCGGGGTTAATAATACATACCACACAAAACTCTCTGAGGATGACAAGAGACCGTGCGCAAAGCCTTGTGAAAGTAAAAGTGCTATGCAAATAAAGGTGGTGGCATTATTCCTGACAATTTCAGACTTGCTTGTCAAAGAACAGAGAGCTCCATCCTGTGACTCAGTCCCAAAATCCCCTTACCCGGACCTTATAGAAATGGGTGCAGTGCTGCTGTTTCCGCTTCGCGTGCAAGAGTCACTACAACAGATTGCAGGGTTCATGTCAATTACGGG